ATAGTAATCAAGAAAGAGGCTCTGCTATTTACAGCAAGGCTCACCTCAGGGGACAGTGTAGAGGACAAGAAGTATGTACACCCTTCCACCCTCAGGGTTATAGAACAAGAAGATGGATTGCGCATAAGTTTTGTGGACCTGTGCCTACCGAGGTTTAACTTCTCACATAACTTCAAGGTCTTTTTCCCTGACAGGAATAACAGAGACAATGAACGACCTAAAGCCCGGAAGGACAGCCACATCTGGTATACTGACGGCTCAAAGACTGACCACGTCGTCGGAGCAGGAGTCTACGGTATACAACCCAGACTGCTCCTTTTCACCAGCATGGGGCAGGGTAATTCTGTCTTTCAGGCCGAGGTTCACGCCATTGAACTTTGGCTGAGGCAGTATGTAGAAAGTGGGGCAACCAAAAAACACATCTATATACACTCGGACAGCAGAGCGGCGCTCCTCGCTTTGAAAGCGCACGAGGTTACCTCAAAGCTGGTGTGGGATTGTGTTCAACTTTTAATACTGATCGCCTCAAGGAACCGGGTATACCTCATATGGGTACCGGGACACAGTGGAGTCATGGGCAATGAAGTGGCAGATATTCTCGCCAGGATCGGGGCTGCACAGGGATTCATAGGCCCAGGACCCTTTACCGGTCTGCCATGGAGCTCCGTTATAAGGAACTACTATATCTGGACGAAGAACGAAGCTCAACATTACTGGACCAATACGGAAGGTAACAGACAGGCCAAGTCCTTCATTCCGATTATATCAACAAGGAGAACCCAAGAACTCCTTCACCTCAGTAGGCATGAAGTAAGAATTGTTACAGGCTTTCTTACTGGCCACTGTAGGGTAATGAAACACTTGTCAAATATAGGAGTTGTCAACTCTGGCCAGTGCAGGTTGTGTAACGAAGAACAGGAAATGGCAGAGCACATTATGTGCCACTGTGAAGCCCTTACCAGGACCAGACTTCGCTTCCTAGGATCACCGTTCCTAGAAGCACACGACCTAAATGGCATTCAGCCAAAGGACCTCGCGAGGTTTCTTAACAGTACGTGGATCAAAGATGACCTGTAGTTGAATGGAGGTTTGTTACAATAGATCGTTTCGGTCGCGGTAACTAGGTGACCTGCTCCCTCCTCTAAATCTAATCTAATCTAATCTACATATAAGGACTAATTGCACATACAATTTCAAACCAGTATATGGTGTGCTTCAGAAGTTAAGACATAATTAATTTTTCACCTCTTAAAAATTACATAAAAAATTCACTTATTTTTAATATTTTTTTGAATCAAAAACTGAAAAGTTATGCAACGAATTGATTAAACATTTTTTTGAGGCTCCAAGTATACGTCTATGAATTATATCCAAAAGCAACCAGCATGATATAGTTTACAACAATGAAATAAAGCTAAATAACCCAAAGGCTACCTGTTTTTTAGATTTGCCCAAATGCTTAAATTTTACTTCTTAATTTCGGGGGTTACTACTAGTTTTAGTAAATTATCAGTTTAATTTCTTGTAAAATTTATCTTTAGATTTATGCATCTTAAGCACAAATCAATGTGAGGTAATTGCAGAAACAATTAACCTGTTTGCTGAGCAACCGAGATGTCTGCTTTTTAAATAACACAGGTTTACAATGAAGAAGTGTCTGCATACTGAACCAAATCTCAATATCCCTATGTTATTCGATGCGCTGAATGCGAATCCGACGTCTGTTCAATATGCATAAGCTTTTTTTTGTACACCTGTTTAATTTTTGTAAAACAAATCGGCAAGCGTGATTCAATAATTAAAGGTTTACTCTTTAGTGACATTAGAGTTTTGACACTCCCTTTGCTCCCTTACAAAAGCGTTGCACACACACACGAACCCACACACAAGGCCTTTCTAAGGAAGCCGATTTTGTCAAGAGGGAGCGAGAAAACTGTTTTTTGAGCAAACCTTTTATTACTGAATCATGATCGGCAAGTACATATCGTCCCTCGCATGCGATACGATTACGATACTTAACTCTGCATTCAAGTAATTGACATTGTGAAATATGTGTTTTCCGTGTACGCACGGTATTCTGGGTTTTGGTAACGGGTGATTTTTTAAGAGCTTGATAACTTTTTTTTTAAAAAAAACGCATAAAATTTGCAAAATCTCATCGGTTCTTTATTTGAAACATTAGATTGGTCCATGACATTTACTTTTTGAAGATAATTTCATTTAAATGTTGACCGCGGCTGCGTCTTAGGTGGTCCATTCGGAAAGTCCAATTTTGGGCAACTTTTTCGAGCATTTCGGCCGGAATAGCCCGAATTTCTTCGGAAATGTTGTCTTCCAAAGCTGGAATAGTTGCTGGCTTATTTCTGTAGACTTTAGACTTGACGTAGCCCCACAAAAAATAGTCTAAAGGCGTCAAATCGCATGAGCTTGGTGGCCAACTTACCGGTCCATTTCTTGAGATGAATTGTTCTCCGAAGTTTTCCCTCAAAATGGCCATAGAATCGCGAGCTGTGTGGCATGTAGCGCCATCTTGTTGAAACCACATGTCAACCAAGTTCAGTTCTTCCATTTTTGGCAACAAAAAGTTTGTTAGCATCGAACGATAGCGATCGCCATTCACCGTAACGTTGCGTCCAACAGCATCTTTGAAAAAATACGGTCCAATGATTCCACCAGCGTACAAACCACACCAAACAGTGCATTTTTCGGGA